AGGGAAGAATCTGAAATGAGATGAGGAGTTTTTAAAAATTGTATCCCGCATCTACCCTGTGTGGATGGATGGATGGATGGATGGATGGATGGACGGATGGACGGACAGACAGACAGACAGACACACGGAATTTGTCTTTGATGCATATGCTCTCAGTGTACATAAAAAGACAAGATACATTCATCAAGAATCATAAGGTACAATACTTAATAATAGTCATAGGGTACAATTAAGCAATCAGGAAATCAATATAAATCATAAGGATAGAAGCAGCAAAGTTACACTTATGCAGTCATAAGTGGGAGGAGATGGGTGATAGGAAGGACAAGAAGATTAATTGCAATAGTAATGCAGTCTTAGTGAATAGTTTGACAGTGTTGAGGGAATTATTTGTTTAGCAGAGTGATGGCGTTTGGGGAAAAAAACTGTTTTGAGAGTAGGAGTTGAAACAGTTTATGTCCAGGATGTGTGGGGTCTGTAAATATTTTCACAGCCCTCTTTTTGACTCGTGCAGTATACAGGTCCTTAATGGGAGGCAGGTTGGTAGCAATTGTTTTTTCTGCAGTACTAATTATCCTCTGAAGTTGGTGTCTGTCTTGTTGGGTTGCAGAACCAAACCAGACAGTTATAGAGGTGTAGATGACAGACTCAATAATACCTCTGTAGAACTGTATCAGCAGCTCCTTGGGCAGTTTGAATTTCCTGAGTTGGCGCAGAAAGAACATTCTTTTTTGTGTTTTTTTGATGACGTTTTTGATATTAGCTGTCCATTTTAGGTTTTGAGATATGATAGAACCTAGAAATTTGAAGTATGAAATATGAGCCCAATAGCAGGCTTTGTTGTGTTTCATACTGCAGAAGAGATGATGGTGATGTTATCCATTCAATCATGTCCAATTCTCGGTGGCTTTATGAGCCAGTTTTCTCCACATTTTCTGGTGTATTTTTGTGGCCTCATTTCTTTTTGTCGCTGACCATTCTGAGCATAATTGCAAAAGTAATTGTTTAAAATACATGTCGTTTTAATCACAACTACATGGTCATTCTTTTGTAACTCTGCATTTCCATTCCACAGTAATTTTATCCTCTTGTTTCAGATCGTCTCCTCATTGCCCTTTTCTGTTCTCTTCTATCCATCATCAACTGTGCCCAAAACTCTTAATACATCAAAACCTCTCTGATAATAAAATTAATAAGTTTTTAATAAGTCACAAGACTGTGGGGGGTTTTTTCTTGCAAAACACCATGTTTCCTGAAAATAAGACTGGGTCTTATTTTCTTTTGGGCCCCAAAAATAAACACTTGGGATTATTTGGGGGTGGGTGTCTTAATGTTTTTTTTTTAATTTGATTTATATGCCGCCCTTCTCCGGAGACTCAGGGCGGCTTACAATGCGTTAAGCAATAGCCTTCATACTTTTGTATAGTTATACAAAGTCAGCTTATTGCCCCCACAAACTGGGTCCTCATGTAAGGGAGGCCCACTTCTTTTGCTTGTTCACAGCGGGGCAGGAGGCCATGTGGCACGTCAGTGCCAGCACCGCAAGGCAAAGGGTAGTGGAGCTACCCCACACGCCCTGCACAGTTTACCTCAGCACCCCCTGCAGCAAGGCCATCCATGTCCCGAAACCTGCCTCACCTCATGGCTGCGCTACCAACACGCCACTCGGCCTCCTGCTCTGTTGCATCTATGAGCAAGCAGAAGAAGTGGGCCAGAAGCCACGTGGGCTCTTGCTGCACAGGGCTGTTGGTGCTGCCACCACATAGGAGAGGCAGGTGTCAGCGCATGGATGGCCTGGCTGTGGAGGCTCTGAGGTAAGCCAATGTGGGGGTATGTAGGCCAGCTCCACCCCGCCCCCCCCCCACCATGCCTCATAGCCACAGCACCATGAGCAACCAGATGGAATGGGTGGGCATTTGGGGGGTAGGGTTTATATTAGGTGCACAAGTAAAAAACATTCTAGGTCTTATTTTCAGGGAAATGGGACTAACAGAGATATCACTTCAAAAGCTACTTACTGACATCAAAACCTGAAACCTTGGATATGAATAGATTAGGAAAGATATCTATGCTCATCGTGTTTTATTAGGAACAGTAGGGAAATGTTTTGTTATGGCTCACTTCTGGATGTTTTTTAAAGTTCTCATTCTAGTCCAGAGCCCTTGAATCTTCCATCCTAAAAAAGTCTGATCCTGCTTAACTTTTCTAAGATCACCCAAGGTGAATGAAACGCTGCCATATACAGATATTGTTGCTATGTTTGCATCACAGACTATGTCTCAACAAATAATCCATATTGTCGGTTCAGAGGACAGACAGCTTCCCACCGCATACTAACTGTGGGGAGGTATGATTAGGTTCCCACGGCAGGCCTACTCTGAATTCCCCAATCCTAAAATAGCTTAGTCTAGCATTGTGCAAACCTACAGTATAACTGAACACACCCCCTCACATTTTGTAAATATTTAAGTATATCTTTTCATGTGACAACCCCGAAGAAATTACACTTGGCTATAGTGTAAAGTAGTGAGTATACAGCTTGTATAACAGTGTAAATGTGCTGTCCCCTCAAAATAACACAACACACAGTCATTAATGTCTAAACTGGTAGCAACAAAAGTGAGTACGCCCCTAAGTGATAATATCCAAATGGGTCCCAAGTAGCCATTTTCCCTCTCTGGTGTCATGTGACTCATTAGTGGTACAAGGTCTCAGGTGTGAAGGGGGAGCAGGTGTGTTAAATTTGGTGTTATTGCTCTCACTCTCTCATACTGGTCACTGGAAGTTCAACATGGCACCTCATGGCAATGAATTCTCCGAGGATCTGAAAAAAATGAATTGTTGCTCTACATAAAGATGGCCTAGGTTATAAGAAGGTTGCCAAGACCCTGAAACTGAGCTGCAGCATGGTGGCCAAGACCATACAGCGGTTTAACAGGATAGGTTCCACTCAGAACAGGCCTCGCCATGGTCGACCAGAGAAGTTGAGTGCCTGTGCTCAGCGTCATATCCAGAGGATGGCTTCGGCAAATAGACCTATGAATGCTGCCAGCATTGCTGCAGAGGTTGACAGGGGGGGGTCAGCCTATCAGTGCTCAGACCATACGCCATGCACTGCATCAAATTTGTCTGCAGGGCTGTCATCCCAGAAGGAAGCCTCTTCTAAAGATGATGCAGAAGAAAGCCCACAAATGGTTTGCTGCAGACAATCAGACTAAGGACATGGATTTCTGGAACTATGTCCTGTGGTCCGATGAGACCAAGATAAACTTATTTGGTTCAGATGGTGTCAAGCATGTGTGGTGGCAACCAGATGTAGAGTATGAAGATAAGTGTGTCTTGCCTACAGTCAAGCATGGTAGTGGAAATGTCATTGTCTGGGGCTTCATGAGTGCTGCCAGCACTGGGGAGCTACAGTTCACTGAGGAAACCATTAATGCCAACATGTACTGTGACCTACTGAAGCAGAGCATGATCTCCTCCCTTCGGAGACTGGGCCGCAGGGCAGTATTCCAACATAACAACCCCAAACACACCTCCAAAACGATCACTGCCTTGCTAAAGAAGCTGAGGGTAAAGGTGATGGACTGGCCAAGCATGTCTCCAGACCTAAACCCTATTGAGCATCTGTGGGGCATCCTGAAGCGGAAGGTGGAGGTGCACAAGGTCTCTAACATCCACCAGCTCTGTGACGTCATCATGGAGGAGTGAAAGCAGTGGTGGGTTCCTCCCGGTTCCGCCCGGTTCCGCCGAGCCGGTAGCGGTGACGATATGACATCACCAAATGATTCTGCCCCCTCTGCCCCCCCCACCCCCTGCATTATTTTTACCTTTTATTTAGCCCCACCCCCAATCTATTGCTGCCTCCTGAGTCCCAGCTGATGGCTAGAGGGAAAAAAACTGTTTAAACTCTTGCCGCGGGGCTTCAAAGGGCCGCCCTACAGCTGATCAGTGTTAAAAGAAAACAAATGAATAGACCGGTGCCTGCAAAAATACATGAGTAGACCAGTGCCTGCAAAAATAAATGGGTAGATCGGTACAGCTCTGCAAGCAGTTAAAAGCCTGGTAGACCAGTACTTCTGCTGAATCCTAAATAATTGTCACATGACTATCAAGCCATGCCCACAAAGTAAGCCACGCCCACAGAACCGGTAATAAAAAAAATTAGAATCCATCCCTGAGTGGAAGAGGACTCCAGTGGCAACCTATGAAGCTCTGGTGAACTCTATGCCCAAGAGGGTTAAGGCAGTACTGGAAAATAATGGTGGCCACACAAAATATTCACACTTTGGGCCACATTTGGACATTATCACTTAGGGGTGTACTCACTTTTGTTGCCAGCAGTTTAGACATTAAATGCTGTGTGTTGCGTTTGAGGGGACAGAACATTTACACTGTTTTACAAGCTGTATACTCACTACTTTACACTGTAGCCAAGTGTCATTTCTTCAGTGTTGTCACATGAAAAGGTATACTTAAATATTTACAAAATGTGAGGGGGTGTACTCACTTCTGTGATATACTATATCCACCATTCTATAGAATTGATGTTGTGCTGGGACCATAGAATAACTTGAAGCTTTGGAAAATTCCTATTGGTATAAGGATTCTTTTTCATCCCACTTTTGTCCTCTCTTGTGACATTTACAATACATACAAAAAGTAGGAAGAGTTTCTATAAATGACGGTATGCCCCATCTTGACTTTTTTGAGCAACTTATGTGGACGCATCCCTCCCAATTGTAGGTCAACCTGAGAAGGCTTTTATTCTCACCAAAGTGTGATTTGCCCCCCCAACTAAATAAGGAATAAATAAAGGGCTGTAAATTGTGCAATTGAGGAGTTTTGCAGCATCATTTAAAACTTCCTCCCGAGCATACCAGATATTTCAAATTATTCTTGTTCTACTGGTAAAAAGTTCCTTTTTTTTCTACTGATGACCACAGTTTCTGCAAATATAACTTCATTTCTCTGCTGTCACTCACAGATGCTTTCACTTTTTCATGTAGGCATCGGTATCCTTCAACTGGATCTGTATTAGAAGTTTGTGATCTCACTTCACTAGAATACAGGTAAGATTTTAAATAAAAAATGAATTAAATATAAAAGCAAACGTATGGATAAAATGAGTTATAGTCAAAGAAAGGGTTGGCACTGAAGTTACCAGAAACTGATAGTATTATTTGGGATTATAAGAACGTGCGAAAGAGGCAAGAATAAATACTTGTACACAATATGCTAATAAGATTCTCCTCTTTTTCTTTGCAATGGTGTCAAAAAGTCTTCTTTTTGAATCATGCAATGGGATGTTAGGGACTCAGATTTTACTCTGAAGAGTTCAGAACTCAAAGCCAAAAACTTCTACTCTCTAATGGAACATTTGAAATTCAGTAGGAGGAATTCTCTGATATGAAAGGAAGGCTGTTTGAGACTCATAACATGAACAGAGTTCCGAACAGAGAAACCAAATGGGGTTTTTGCTGTGGAAAACAGCTAATGGTGATTCAGTGATATATTATTTGCATTTAAATTTCAGTAGCAGTAGTTTACAAGTTAATAGGGGTTAAACCCCCAAAATATACAAATCAGAACACCTAGTGATATTAACAAAACATTTAATACTAGACTATTAGCTCTGTATGAATTCCACAGGCAACAACAGCATTTCAAGCTGTTTAGAGAACGTCTGTCTCATTGTCATCTGACAATAGGTCCTGAAGATTAAACAAGATTTTGAATGAGGGCAGAGATTGCATTAGTATTCTCTTGGATTACTTAAGGTAAAATTTAGACATGGCTGGTATATCCCTCCTGATTTTTCAGTGGCTCTTAGTACCATTGTGCACAATTCACTTGGGGCTGGGGATTAGAGGTACTTTTAAAAAAAAAGAAGATTTTATTGCTTTTCTGTTGTTTACATTTTGTTAGTGCTTAATAAATAAATAAAATAAATAAATAAATAATTTTATTTCTATACCGCCCTTCTCCCGAAGGACTCAGGGCGGTGTACAGCCAATTTAAAAACACAACACACAACAATAATTAAAAATTAAAATAATTACATAGATTTGGCCGATTTAAAATCCCAAACATTTAAAATACCCCAATTAAAATTATTAAGTTGATAGCCCTGCCTGGCGGAACAACAGGGTCTTCAGTGCGCAACGAAACATCGTGTTGTCTATTTTATTTAATTTGCTTAACAATAGAGATTACATTCCTAATCTCCACCTCTTTTTTCCCAACCATTGGTAAAATAAAGTCCATGTTTGATAATATTCTGTGTCTTTTTTCTGTTTAATCTTCAGCGTCTGTCCATTTCTGCAGAATCTAGTATCTTCCTAATTTTCGTCTTGTGGTGTTTCTTCATTTTTCCAATATTGTGCAAATATAATCCTCGCCGTTCTTAAGACATGCAATATTAAATATATACTTTGCTTAGCACATTTTTCTGATGTTAGAAAACATCAGAAAATAATAATAATAATAATAATAATAATAATAATAATAATAATAATAATAAATAATAATAATAATAAATAATAATAATAATAATAATAATAATAATAATAATAATAATAATAAACAGTTCAGGTTTAAAATCTACATGTTTTCCTATCAGAGATATATATATCTATATTTCTATCTCTAGATGATAGATAGATAGATAGATAGATAGATAGATAGATAGATAGATAGATAGATAAAGATATATAGATATAAATTCTCTTTTTCCAATATATATAGAGATATAGAGATATATCTTGATGATACCCAGTTCTAGGGGTGAAATGTTACCAGTTTGGACCGGTTTGACTGAACCGGTAGCGATGGTGGCCAGTGATTCGGAGAACTGGTAGCGATGGCAGAGCGAAGCTCCTTTCACCTGCCCAATCATCGTTACTTCCTGTTTTTAACCAGGAAGTAACCTTTCTTTACCCTCTGCAGATTCGCAGAAGGGTTATGGACAGTGGTGGGATTCAAGTAATTTAACAACCGGTTCTCTGCCCTAATGATTTCTTCCAAAAACCAGTTTGTCAAACTGCTCAGAAAGTTAACAACCGGTTCTCCCGAAGTGGTGCAAACTGGCTGAAGCCCACCACTGGTTATGGGCATGCGCAGAGGTCCTAAGCGTGCACGTGACACGCGTGCACTTCCGAATTGGTAGGAAAGGTAAGTAGATTTCACCCCTGCCCAGTTCTATAAATCAACACCTTGGCCAATAAGGGGCATACTGTCAACATGCTTGCCCCATGCATGGAGATTGTAAAGGTTTGTATGGAAGCAAATAGATGGAAGCTAAATCCATTTACATACATAGAATGGTCTGTACACATCCGAACAAAACAGATTTGCAATTTGAAAGTCTTTCTGGACTGCTCCTCCATAAACAGCATGTAGAGGTTATAACTAGAGGATTCTTTTGCTAGGTATCAGTTTTAATCTTTTTTTTTTTTAATTTGATTTATATGCCGCCCTTCTCCAGAGACTCAGGGCGGCTTACAATGCGTTAAGCAATAGCCTTCATACTTTTGTATATTTTATACAAAGTCAGCTTATTGCCCCCACAAACTGGGTCCTCATTTTACCTACCTTAGAAAGGATGGAAGGCTGAGTCAACCTTGAGCCTGGTGAGATTCGAACTTACAGTAATTGCAGACAGCTGGTGTTAATCACAATGCTGTCTGCTGAGCCACCAGGCTCACTGGTGATCTTGTCAGCTAAGGAGAGCTTAGGTACTGTAACTCACATCTTCATTGCCATGCAGTTGAGTTACTGCAATGCACTTAACATAGGGCTGCCCTTGAAGACTACTTGGATACTGCAATTGGTCCAGAATGCAGCAGCCCATGTAAAAATTGGTTCTCAGTGTTGGGAACTTATAATACTAATTATGCAAGCCCTGCCTGTATCCATTAGTGAATGACTTCCAGGTATAATTTAAGGTGCTGGTATTGCTCTATAAAACCCTTGATGGCTTGGTGTCAAATATTTCCAGAACCCTCTACTCCAACCAGAATTGACCCAACTGTCTAATAGATCATTCCAAGGTACTGGTCTTCCATGAATTATATGGACAAAGTGAATTTTGAGAATTTCGCAAAGCATACTTTAGATGTGTTCTTGGCATGTAATACAACATCACATTGTTTTGGGATGAAATAGTCACACTTTAAAATCATAAGAATCCAATGTAACAAGCTCTTTCATTAAATCTTTTTTTTTTTAGAAGTCAGGACACCTTAATAAATCTATTAAATAATAATATTCTGATGTTTTACTCTACAATTTTTACAAATCATCAATATCCAGTCTGATCATGTCCTCCATCTGTCTGTATGAATACACCATAAGCTTAGAAGTATTCCAAACATCTTCCAAAAATACAATAATTTGGAAACTGTTTGGTATACAAGAATATACAAGTATAAGAAGTTGCGAGCTGGCGTCAGGTTAGAGAATCAGGGGGAAAAAAAGATGAACTAAAGTTGCCTCTATGTAGTCAAATGAGCAGAAGAGGGAAGATGATGTATCCATGGATAATTGTTGATGATAATTCAAGACCAATTCTTGAATACAGCTCATCCGCCTGGAATGAATTTCAGGGATGAAATGCTGCTGGCTCGGACCGGATCGCCTGATCCGGTAGCGATGGCGGCGGGTGGTTTGGAGAACCAGTAGCAAAAATCCCTGCCCCCCCACTACCACCATACCACCATACCCAGCTGAACCACAGGATCATGAGAGGCTTTTTTTTTTTACTTTTAAAAGCATTTTTTCTACAACCTCTTCCGACGAAAAAATGCTTTTAAAAGTAAAAAAATAAAAGCCTCTGATGATCGCGCAGCTCAGCTGGGATCATCAGAGGCTTTTCAAAGCATTTTTTTCTGCAACCTCTTGGCCAAAGAGGTGATAAAAAAAAATGCTTTGAAAAGTCTCTGATGATCCCAGCTGAGTTTCCTGAGCAGCAGAGAGGTATTTTTAGAAAAAATGCTTTGAAAAGTTAAAAAAAAAAGTTGGCCATGCTCACCCAGTCACATTACCCCCCAAAGTCATGCCCACAGAACCGGTAGTAACAAATTTTACATTTCACCCCTGCTGGAATCCACTCTGTATATCAGACATTAAGACGATTGAGCAGGTCCAGAGGTATTTCACGAGAAGAGTACTCCACTCCTCTACTCACAACAGAATCCCTTATGCCACCAGGCTTGAAATTCTGGGCTTGGACAATCTGGAACTGCACCATCTGCTGTCCGATCTAAGCATAGTACACAAAATTGTCTGCTATAACGTCTTACCTGTCAACAACTTCTTCAGCTTCAACCACAATAATACCTGGACAAACAATTGATACAAACTCAAGGTAAACCGCTCCAAACTCGATTGCAGAAAATACAACTTCAGCAACCGAGTGGTCAATGCCTGGAATCAGGGGCGGGTTCCAAAGCCCATCGCTACCAGTTCACGTGCATGCAGTGCTTCTGTACATGCACAGAAGCTTCTGCTCATGTGCAGAAGCATCCGGGCAGGTGGGTGGAGCCTCCCGCTGTCGCTGCTACCGGTTTGTCCGATCCGGTGCGAACCAGTAGCAACCCACCACTGCCTAGAATGCTCTACACGACTCTGTTGTTACATCCTCAAACCCTCACAGCTTCAACCTCAAACTGTCTACAATGGACCTCATCCCATTCCTAAGAGGCATGTAAAGGGGACGTGCATAAGCGCACCAGTGTGCCTACCATCCCTGTCTTACTGTCCACATTTATATGTACTTACTTCCTTTGTTTATGTTTGTTTCAGGAGTGGCATTCACTTACCTTCACTACCGGTTTGCAAATGTGAGCGCGTGCAAGCACAGAGTGTCAAAAACAAGACGTGATGATGTCTGGGCAGGTGGGAGGAGCCTCCCGCAGCCGCTGCTGTTGGTTCATCCGAACCGGATAGAACCGGCTGAATACCACCACTGGTGTTTGTTTATGTTTATACCTATACCTGCTATCTTGTACATGTTTGATGAGCAAACAAACAAACAAACAATAAATAAATAAATAAAAGATCTGAGCACCACTAGAGCATTGGAAAATCTTTTTTAGGACCATTGAGGAAACCGATTCATCCTTTCCCCAAAGGGCCAACTGAGACTATCCCCAGAGACAGAAAAATATCTTTCAGCCTTGAGGAATAAGAAACACTTTTGTTGGTTTTTTTTTTATTTTTTATTTTTAAATCTGATTATGTCAAATTCCTTTACAGAATCTGAGAAGATGGAGAACAAAACCGTGGTCCTTACTATCTATATCATTGCCTTCGTCATTGGTCTGCCTTGCAACCTTCTGGCCTGCTACTCCTTTCTGAGGAAAGTACGTCGCAAGCCGGTCCCCATAGATATCCTGTTGCTCAATTTGACTATTTCTGACCTTTTCCTTCTGTTCTTTTTGCCCTTCAAGATGGCAGAAGTTGCCCAACGTTTCACATGGCCTCTTCCTTCCATTCTTTGCCCACTGGCAAACTTCTTCTTCTACAGCAGCATTTATATCAGCCTCCTGTTCCTCATGGGAGTCAGCATCGAGCGCTACCTGTGTATTGCCTACCCTGTCAAGCACAAGTTGAACCGTAGACCAACCTACGCAAGAATTGCCAGCCTTTTCTTCTGGTTTTTGGCTTGTTCCCATTGTGGTTGCATTGTCTTCATTGTTCACTACCTCCCTGGAACTTCGTGGAGTCATACATCCAATGTCACTTGCTACCATGACTTCTCCCCCAAACAGAATGACATTGTCCTCCCTTTCCGCCTGGAGCTTTTCTTTGTCCTCTTCTTACTTCCTTTCCTTGTCACTGTTTCCTGCTATGCTAACGTGATCCGCATCTTAAATGCCATGCCAAACATTAAGCCTCAGAAGAGGCAAAGGGCCATGGGCTTAGCTGTGGCTACCTTGCTCAATTTCACTCTGGCCTTTGCTCCCTACAATATCTCCCACGTTGTAGGCTTTGTAATTAAAAAAAGCCCCCCCTGGAGAACAGAGACGTTCTGCCTGACTTCCCTCAATACGGTGTTGGATCCTGTCATTTTCTTCTTCTCTTCCTCCACCATCCGGAGGACCTTTACAGAATGTTGGATTGGCATCTGCAAGAAATTCCGGAATCATGCATCACTCTGCTGTCCATGTTGCTGCAAGTTTTGTAGGGACAATGACAAAAAAGGACAAGCTGGTGAGTTATCTCTTGGAAACCTCCCCAGCATACTGGCAGGATCTAGTACCCCCACCCCTTTTGCAACTCTGGAACCATCTATGACATTAGACGAGTGATCACTCAGAAAAGTCTCATTATACAGAGCAGAAACTTCTGACTCCCAAGAACACCTAAGCTAAACATGATCACACCACCAAATATATCCAAGCGAGTGTGAAATTTGAAATAATGCCTGCAGAAATTTCATTTTGAGTGACAACACTTAACAATCAAATCATGTTTGGAAAACTTGCCTGCTGCTCCTGACTTGCTTGTAGCAACTTTGAGTTATTTTGACTATTACCAAAGATAAGATGACATCTGCTTATAGTTCTCAGAGTTTCAAGACTTGCAGAGAATTCCATGTTCGCTTTTTTGGCCAAAGACTCCAGACTTCATGAATATTTGAGACTTTGTCACAAGTAAACAATAATACATATGGATAACCAGCTGGGTCACTGTGACAGATTTTTGCCACCATCAGCTGATGGGTACACATTAATAACACAGTAATTATTTTCTCAAAGCAGCCCATCTCCTTAAAAAAATTTCACTAGGTGCTTTTTTTGTCATAATGAGCTGGTTCTGTTCATAGCCCAAGACCAGTTAGATCATTCTTTTCTTTTAGCACTTGATAGCTGCAACTCCACTCCTCTGACAGCCACAAAACTTGTGATGGATCAGTATCTCTTAAAAATATTTGTCCAATATGATATCTTCATTTGAAGGAATTGTTTGGGTAAGCTTCTCTCAAACTCAAGGGTTAATTATATTTCTGTTCAGCTATTTAGTTCTTTGGCCCAGAGGTGCTATTCAGCAGGTTCTGACAGGTTCTGGAGAACCGGTAGTGGAAATTTTGAGTTGTTCGGAGAACCGGCAAATACCATCTCTGGCTGGCCCCAGAGTGGGGTGGGAATGGAGATTTTGCAATATCCTTCTCTAAGAAGTGGAGAGGGAATATATAAAGTTTATTGTCATTGTACATATATACATAGTATACCCATACAACAAAATTCACATAACACCCAGAGACCAAGCCCAACACACATGACAATCCCCAGACACACCTCCACCCACCAAAAATTCTTCACCCCTGAGTGGGGAATGGGGATTTTGCAGTATCCTTCCCCTGCCATGCCCACCAAGCCACACCATGCCCACCAAGCCATGCCCACAGAACCGGTAGTAAAAAACTTTGAATTCCACCACTGCTTTGGTCTTAGAAGCAGCTATCCCAACTTTTAAATCTTGGAGTAAGATAGGGAGGGAATAAGACAGTAGGACCATTCTGCCAGCAGAACACAACATCTCCAGAAGGTCACGTCTGCCTAGAAGGTTCACTAGCCTAGATCTACTTTTGGTTTGTTTTTTTGTTTTTTTAGCAGAGCCTGAAATGAACACTGATGTGAGATTACTTTGAATCTCCTGAATACAATTTTCAGTTTTGTGAGAAGCATCAATTGCAACGTTCACATATATCTTTCTGGAACCAACACACCGTATTTCACCTTGTTGGTTTTGGTGGGACATTTGTATGCAACTAGATTGTGGTAGATAAAACCTGCAGAGATTGAGAAGAAGCCATCCGCCTGACACCATAGGGAAAGAAAGATCTTTGTGCTTTCCTGAGTGATTACTGTTGAAGTAGCTGCCTGTATACAAAAGCTTTAGGCCTCAAATGTGTATTTTTCTATGCTGAAATAAATGATTCGGTTATTTTTCTTAGCGGCTGTGTTCGTTCTTACTGAAAACCAATGTTTTGACTCTGAGATTACTTTCAGGGATGGGTTTTGGCAAGCATATCCTATACATCATGTACCTGCCACTTGTTCCCGTTTGGCTGTCCCATTTATCATGGTTTTAAGCAGGGGTGGGCTTCAAAAACTTTAGCAAGGGGTTCTCTGCCCAGTTGCTGGGTGGGCGTAGCCATGGTGGGTGTGGCATAGTCGGCCTCCTGCACCACGGTGGGGGGGCGTTTTTGCCCTCCCTGGGCTCTGGAAACTTTTTTTGAGCCTCCGGGAGAGTGAAAACAGCCTCCCCAGACTCCAGAGGCCCTCTGGAGGCTGGAAACAAGCCCGTTTCTGGCCTTCCCGAACTTCCGGTAGGCCCGTTTTTCACCCTCCCCAAGCTTCCATGTACACTCTGCACTTACCTGCATCCAAAATGGGCAGCATGGGGACTCCTGGGAGGGGCAGGAAGGGGCAGGAGGGGCCAGCCAGGAGTGGGATTTGGGGGTTGTCCGAACTGCACAGAATCTTAGCTAGAGGTTCTCCCGAACCCCCAGCAGCCCACCCCTGGTTTTAAGCAGGTTTCCCACCCCACTCCCATACACAAAGGCCTCCTGAAGCAAATATGAAAGTGACACCTTGATCTAGGCTGATGACTCTGGCCATTGTGGGGGCAGCAGGAAGTGCAAGGCAGTGTTTCTGTCTTGTGATTGGTGGATACTTAAAGAAACTCACAGCAGATACCCCATCCGTATTTGGTGACGATGCCAATTCGTGTCGTGGTATTGATGGAGCATAGAAACCAAACTTGGAGAGAAGAGGTGATTTTTGGCTTTTGGGCAACTTCTTCAATCAATTTTTTTTTTCCAAGCATGGTTTTTACAGGTTTCTTCTCTCTGTAGCAACTGAAGTGTTTTTGGTTTCGAAACAATTTATCCCTGGAGACTTTCTGAATTATCTTTCTAAGTCTTCCCCACTCACAATGGGGAAGCTTGCAGCTGGTTGTTTGCATAACAATATCCTCTTTCTCAATTGGTAAACCACACTTTCAGCAACGTAAGGAATGGCCACTAGGACCTAATCGAGAGATACTGACCATGAGAGTTTGGGTAATGATAGCTAGCATAGACAGGTATCCAAAGGTCTTCTTTTCAAGTCCTGCTTAATGCTCCAGATGAGGACTTTTTCTGAAATAGGCCAGATTTGTTTGATATCTATCCAAAACTTGTCCCCATACTCTTGTTACAATTGTTCAGAAACCCAAATAAAACATTGTGAAACTGCACTGAGTGCTGCAGACAACAAGGGAAGATGTCCTGAAAAGGAAATACATGTGGTTTTTGTGAAAACTGTTCCTGTAATTTCTCAATCTATCATAGTGGGGCTCTTGATGTAAAGGAGCAACGTTTAAAGTAAGGCAAATACAGAATGTCAAAAATCTAGAATGCTCTTGAGAACTGATGTAATATTAGTTCAAGCTACATAAAACTCAAAGAAAAGATTTTTTTTGGCCTTTTTAATACTATCTGACTTGCCTTATAGATTACTATTCCACCCAGCCTGATATTGCTGACCCTCTATTCATATAATACTCAGGAAGGTAACTTCCCGAGAATTTGAGGAGACTGTTAAACCCAAGGTAATGAACAGATTACCAGTATGCCTAATAGGTTTTCAACTAGCCATGTTCTGACAATGACAGAGGGGACAGGACAAGAAAGAAAAAATGCTATGTTTCAATCTTACGGGGCCAAAAAAAAAAAAATCAACTTCCTTTAGCTAATCCCTTCTTGAAACAAACAGAAGGTATTAACGGTATGTGGTTCATTGTGAATTGTCAAAGATAGCATGGAATTTGATGATATGGAAAGAAAGAGAGAGAGAGAGAGAGAGAGAGGGAGGGAGGGAGGGAGGGAGGAAGGAAGGAAGGAAGGAAGGAAGGAAGGAAGGAAGGAAGGAAGGAAGGAAGGAAGGAAGAAAGAAAGGCGAGAGAAAGAAAGAGAGAGAAAGAAAGAAAGAAAAGAAAGAAAGAGGAAGGGAGGGAGGGAGGAAGGAAAGAAAGAAAGAGGGAGGGAGGAAAGAAAGAAAGAAAGAAAGAAAGAAAGAAAGAAAGAAAGAAAGAAAGAAATTTCATATGGTAATTATTTTTTTTAAAAAAAAAATCAATCCAATGCTTCTTCCACCTAACCCCAAACACGTCCGTGTACTGTCAGACATAGTTGAGAAATAGGACTAGCCAAAAAAAAAGGAATCTCTAGTCACCCAAGTTTTTGACCAAATGAGGAAGCAGTTGAAACCAAGAAAAGTAATTCACATTCTCAGGAAAATCACTAGAACGTGATGGTTGATATGGCATTGCTCCAACTGTATGATTGGGCTATTCCAAAAATGCAAACACTGTTGGACTCCAATTCACATCAAACCCAGACATTGTGGTTAATGGTCATGATGGGAGTTCCTTGTTTTCTAGTTTGGTCTCCTAATCTATTGCATCTAGATATTAAGACCCAGGTTTAATTCTGATGTACCTTTACTTACCACGTTAGGAGGAACAAAAATCAAAGGTGGAAGAATAATTATCATTATTTTTTTAAAAAAAAATCCAAGTATTTGGACAGATCATTATCTAATAGAAAGAGCTGATTTGTGAAAGGATACAGTTTACTTCTATTGTTTCACTCTATTATTTATTGTCATGAAACACATTTATTGAATTTTAATCTTCTAACAGAATAGCTAAAATTGAAGTGGGGCCAAAATCTCATCCAAATATTAAGCAGATCTGACTCTGCTTAGCTTTTAAAATATTGTCTTAAAAAGCCACAAAAATAGGGGAAAAATGAGATAAAGGAGAGATATCTTTATTTAGGAAAATATTGTGTGGTGAAAGTCTCTGTTTAGGCTTGGTCTAAAGATTTATTGATGGAAGAATGGGCTATTTTATGGCTTTTTCAAGTCAATATTTTAAAAGCTAAGCTGTAAAAGGATGGCAGAACCTAGTGGAGCAGTTAAAAGAGGGATGTGGTGGGATTCAGCTGGTTCAGACTGGTTCGAGAAAACCGGTAATTAAATTGCTGGTTGGCTCCACCCTGCCTCTCCCCTCAAAGTGGTCCCCACGTGTCCCATTTTGGCTCCCAGGTAAGTGCAGGGAGGCCTTCTAGGCCCGCAATGGGGCACGGCACGCTACACCCCCCCCACCGTGGCCCATTTTCACTCCCAGGAGGCTGCAGGGAGGCCTACTAGGCCCAAAACGGGGCACGGGAGGGGAATCTCCCATGGCCCATTTTGCTCCTAGGGGGGTGCAGAAGGCTAAGTGCTGCCTGTCATACACCCCTGGCCATGGCCACCATGGCCACGCCCACCCAGCCAGTCATTAGGGCAGAGAACTGGTTGTTAAATTATTTGAATCCCACCACTGGGTCAACCTAGAACAGTGATGCCTAATCTTTTTGCCATCGGGTGCCAAAAGCTGAGGGAGTGTGGGGTGGTCGCACGCGCATGTGCCCACATTCATAATTCTATGCACCCTGCCCCCATACGCATGCGCACATGAGCCCCCATGCTCTCCCCGCTATTAGCATGTGATGGCCCGGTGGGCCTGGTAGGCCCGTTTTTTGCCTTCCCCAGTCTCCAGAGGCTTTCTAGGAGTGTGGGGAGGGCAGAAACAGCCTTCCCCACCCCCCGGAGACCCTCTGGAGGCTGGAAACAGCCCATTTGTTGACTTCCGGTGGGCCCAGAAGGCTCAAAAATCAGCTGGCCAGTGCACGCATGCATGATGGAGTTGAGCTAGGGCAACACTTGTGTGCCCACCAATATGGCTCCGTGTGCCAGCTGTGGCACGCGTGCCATAGGTTCGCCATCACGGGCCTAGGAACTCTAGGTAGCCACAAGCAAACTAAGTCCAACCTCCTTTGAATTCTATTGATCCTTAACCCCAAGCAGGTGCTAATTATTAGTTAAGAAGATTCTTGTGCATAAGTGTGATTAGCAATAAATCCCAAGATTAACTGGACCTTTGCATGTGAACCTGATCTTTCATGCTTGACTCAAGCAGAATCAGATCTTGGATGC